AGGGGCACGCCACAAGGCTCCGTAATTTCGCCATTACTCTTTAATTTAGTTCTATTGGGGCTACCCGAGAAATTATTAGGCATACAAGGATTGTATCACAGTATCTACGCGGATGACATCACCCTCTGGGTTCCCGGCGGAGGTTGTGATGGTCACGTCGAGCGTACGCTCCAGGCAGGAGTAGACGAAGTTCAGGAGTACTTGCGAGGAACGGGCCTCGAATGCTCGGCAACCAAGTCGGAACTTCTAATCTACAAACCTACAAGTAGAGGTCGCAAAACCCCGCGCGACGAGGAAAGGGAGTGCTACAAAATAAACGTTCTATTGGCAGATGGCACTCCCATTCCACACGTAGACAAAATTAGAATTCTGGGGTTACACCTGCAGGCAAACGGCCATAATGGTGAGACGGTGCGAAGACTACGTCGTTCGGTAGACGACACGATCCGACTCCTACGTCGTATCACGAACCGACGTACTGGTATGCGCGAACACTGCGCGATCCGTCTAGTGCAGGCGTACGCAATAAGCCGTATAACATACGTTGCCCCCTACCTCAAATTGCTAGGCTCAGAAAAAAACAAGATCGAATGTATAATACGAAAAGCTTTCAAGAGAGCAATTGGAGTTCCACTGAATGCGAGCACTGAAAAGTTACTAGAACTTGGACTGCACAACTCACTCGACGAGTTAATTGAGGCCCATGTCGTTTCGCAAAACGAACGCTTGTCGGGGTCTAAGACGGGTCGACACATCCTCGAGTCACTTGGCATCCGGTACCACACTCAGCAGGGAGAAAAAGCGGATGTTCCTGCCTCGGTCCGCGACCGCCTAATTGTTCCGCCGCTTCCTAAGAATATGCACCCGACGCACCACGTCGGGCGCCGTAACCAGCGAGCTAGTGACCTTCAAAAGAAGTACGGCACTAGCGACGAAGTTGTGTACGTAGATGCCGCGAGATATGGGGACGGGAGGCACGCACACGCCGCTGCGGTCGTTGACCGTGCGGGCAAATGCCTCGCGAGCGCCACGGTGACCACGGGACATACGGAGGCGGCCGAGGAAGCCGCGATAGCCCTAGCAATCGCCACGGTGCCGAACGCTACGATCGTAATCAGCGACTCGCAGGCAGCAATCCGCGGCTTCGCGCGCGGCCGCGTCTCGCGGGAAGCGGCCCGCATCCTTAAGATGTGCGGTGATGGTGACTCAGCGTCGCGATCGCCACAACAAAATTTAACAGTCTTCCTCCTTTGGACCCCGGCACACACCGATGTCCCGCTTCCGGGCAACGAGGCGGCCCACGCCGCGGCTCGAGGTCTCACTCGCCGAGCCGCGGCACATTCCGTGGCCGCCGCCTCCGCTCCCGAGAACGGGGCTTCTGATCTGCCGGATCGAGACACTTTGACAGACACGCAGCGACAACACAGACCACAATGGTCGTGGGGTGATCGTCTCATCACGTTCCGAGATATTACGCAACACTACAGACTGGAAAGGCGAAAGTTCCCGCCACCGCATGACAAATTAAACAGACACGATGCCGTAAGCTATCGCTTACTACAAACCCACTCTTACCCCAGCCCGGTCGTCTTACGCCACTGCTACCCGCACTTACACATTACCGATCTATGTAAAGCATGCGGGCACAGAGCAACGCTGCGCCACATGCTCTGGGAATGCGCCGATAACAATGGTCGAGAAACGGCCGCCGTTCGCGATGAGCCTATGGCGGCTGCCAATACCAGGCAACAAGAAGCCTCGAGCTCACTCGTTCCCGCCGCCGTCCCGTCTGCGGGAGCCGCGGGGGACCTTCTCCGTCGGCGACGCCGCCGCTGGGAGGCGGCGCTCAGAAGCTCGGAGCTCAACGACCAGCTCTGGGCTGTCCGGCAGGCCGAAGATGCCGCCCGAGTTCAGGGACTCAGCGCCGCCATCTGAGGCCACCAAGACCAAGCTGCCGGCCAAGTTCTAATAAAGTTTCCTCTCTCTCTCTGCATCACACAGCCGGGTATCTAGCGCATTTCTTTTTTACAACATTTTATGTATTATCCTTCGTGAAAGAGGGTGGCCGGCCTTTATGATGACGATGTTGAGTACAAGGGAGACAACAGTGAATGATTATCTTCTGTATAATACATTAAGTACTTGATATAGTCGTTAACAATATTAGCCCGACCAACCACCGTTCTGCTCCGCAGTATTAAGCCCATAGATTCAGTCATGAGTGGGAAAGCCGAAAAATGCCTGTTGACACTCTTTTGTGTATCTGCTCAAGACTCCTGTGCATTTGTGTAAAAGAACAACAGTTTTAGGCATATCTTCGTTATTTGTTCCCCGAACTGTACTCGGACAGATCTTGCTGAGGGACTAGCAGGCGAAGCCTCCCTCACGCAGACAAGAAAATTGGGAGTCCAGATGTGTCCGCATACTCACACGGATACTGGAAACTGAGCTCGCTTAAATGATGTTACAGTAAGGTTATTACGGGCAGTACATGGCGAAGATTTCGGACTGAAGAGTACGTACATGGACGAAAAATGTAAGGACAGAAATGAGCACCGTCATGCCTTCGTTTGCTTCGCCATGCCCTTCCTATTGCGTCCTACAGTATCGCTCCAGTTAGCAGTAATGAGTCCTTGTGAAAGTGTTGCAAAGTCAGCATGTTGGTACACGTGCCCCGCCGCGGTGGTCTAGTGGCTAAGGTACTCGGCTGCTGACCCGCAGGCCGCGGGTTCGTATCCCGGCTGCGGCGGCTGCATTTCCGATGGAGGCGGAAATGTTGTAGGTCCGTGTGCTCAGATTTGGGTGCACGTTAAAGAACCCCAGGTGGTCGAAATTTCCGGAGCCCTCCACTACGGCGTCTCTCATAATCATATGGTGGTTTTGGGACGTTAAACCCTATATATCAATCAAGCATGTTGGTACACGTGCGTCAGCCTTCCATCAGTTATCGTAAGTGACCAGTGGCATTGTCATCTTGCTGACACTTGTCGAATCAGTCAGTGTAGACAGGTTTGTTTCAAGTCGGTATTCGCCTAAAGGGCCATTCAACAGGCTCCAACTTTTTTTTTACACCACGCAAACAAGCGCATCTTTCATACGCCTGATCAACCTCCTTCCACACACAGTGACGCCAAATCGGTGATTGGTGACGTTGACTTCATTTTTGTTTGCTATGACCTGGTTTAGACCAATCGACGAGCTGTGTGCTGCGTCACGTTGCCGATCGCCGAATTGACGCCAGTGCGCGTGGAAGGAGATTGGTCCGGCGTATGAAAGATGCGCGAGCTTGTTTGGGGGGTGTAAAAAATTGCAGATCCCACGTACATTGGGAATCGACGATATGTGAAGCACGAATGGGAAATGTTGATAGTCACTTTAAAATCAGCACAACGTTACGAGGTGTAGGTAAATGATGCCATACATGACTTCCTTGTCATGATTATCATATTTGATATGTCGCTTACCTTCATCATCTATTCAAGTGACGTGATACGAAATTCAGTATGTGTGGAGCTAGCGAAACGGCCGCAAGCATGCTGTGAGCGCGTTATGTTGTCGTGTTCTTACGTGACACGCCTATCAGGGTTATCATGTTTGCACCAGTGATATATTTCGTCATCCATTCACGTCATGCAACATCAAATTTGGTATATGTCGAGCTAGCAAAATGGTTGTGAGCGCATCATGAAGGGCCCAATATACTCCAGTGTGGCGTGGACGCGCGCGCACGCTGGGCCCAATGACGCTACGTTAGCAAAACGCGAGCACTCTATACTCTGACGCCAGGCACAACCAGCGTCCATCGGCGTGGCCCAACGGCAACCGGCACGATATGTGACATGCTGCATTTCGCGCCGATGCGTTACCCAGACAACACTGCGTCTCCCTCTTTTCGTGACGGAGGGATGCTGAACGCGCTGAAACGTGCAAAAGCAACGCAGCGCGACGCGCGCCTGCGAGTATATGAAAGGACCGGCGCATGGCCTAGCAACGCCGGCGAGACGCGACGAAATGAACGCCGGCCAGCACGCGTACCGCGTCACGTCGAAATGTATTGGCGCCTTGACTATGACAAGTAGTCATGTTCTCACATGACACGCATCTCATGATTATCATGTTTGCACTATCCACATACCTTCGTCATTTATTGGCGTCACGTGATACCAAATTTGGCATATGTGAAGATAGCGAAACAGCCGTGAGCGCATCATTAGAGTGGAGTGCAGTCATGTTGTTGCATGACACGCATGTCGTGATTATCAAGTTACAATGTGTCATTTACATATATTGTCCATTCGTTTCGCGTAATACCGAGTTTAATACATGTAAAGCTAGCGAAACGGCCGCGAGCGCATCATGACGGCCGCGAGCGCAGCATGTAGTCATGTTGTTACATGACACGCATCCCATGATTATCATGTTTGCACCAGTCACATACCTTCGCCATTCATTCAGCTATTGTATTGCCAAATTTGATATATGTAACACTAGCGAAACACCCGCTAGCGCATCATGAGCGTGGCATGTAGTCACGTTGTTACATGACACGCTTTTCATGATTTTCTTGTTATGGTCTGTCGCTTTTGTTCGCCATGCAATCATGCCATATCATACCAGTTTTGCAACATGACATGTGAACGAAACCACCGCAAGAGGTGCAGGACCATGAAATGTAAATCATGACATTCATGACATACATATCATGATTTTCATGTTAGGACTAGTCAAATGTGTTGCTCATGCAGTCATGTTATGCCATACCAAGTTTGGTATCGATAACAATATCGAAACGGCCAGGAGAGCTAAAAGTCGTAGGCGGATAGATAGATAGATAGATAGATAGATAGATAGATAGATAGATAGATAGATAGATAGATAGATACGCTCAAAGTCGCCGACGTTCGCTAAGAAATGCTTCGCATTTAAAAGTTAGAGCCTGTTGAGTGGCCCTTTAAGGAACGCCAATATGTACAAAATGTCTGAGATGACCGCGTACTCACATCTAACGTTGAGGTAGTATCCGAATGAGGCGAACGTTCCTAGGTGATGAACGGCGGCGCAGCGGTACCAACCGGCATGTTGGCGCTCGATGGCCGAGAAATTGAGGTATCCGTCGGGACTCTGTGGCACTGGAGGGGGTCCGTCGTCCTTCAGCCATCGTGGTGCGCACGGTGGATTGGCGTCCACGGCGCAATGCAGGGACACTGGCATCTTCTCCAGGATCGGGAAACCGAAGCCCGGCTCCCGGGATATTGAGAAGGACGGCACGTCTTCGAAGAGGGAATACAGACGCACTACTCAATGAGCTGTTCGGAGCTGCTGTTTACAGTAGGCAAATCTACTATGATTTCTAGCTAAAGTTAACACGTTCAGGAGTCTCTACTCGACTAGTACTGATAGTCAGTATGGTTCCTTTGTTTTTCCTGCCAATGTGTCCGAAGGAATCCACGTTTAGTAATCCCATTGGGGTCAGTGTGTCCTTTTCATAATGTACGGGTGTACATAATGATCAAGTTTTCTTGGTCAATTCGCTTCGCAGTATCATTCGAAAAAGCTACTACAAGCTGACCACAAACAGAGTAATATATCATAACAAAAATAAAATTGGAAATCCTGCAAGCTTCTGCCTGCACTGGAAGCACGTACTCATTTGGCGATTACAATTTGCCCCAAGAAGTTGGAGGCCGTAAATCGTGCGTGTATTTTCTGAACCTCACGCTTGATCTATGCACGCATTAACGCTGTGGCTACTCAAGATCCAGAATTAGTTCACACTTTATTTTGTAATGTTTTATTGCTTGCATGTAAATTAACGAACGCGAAACATAGTTCTACCTTATAGGTTCTCCTCTTCAACGAAGCTTTAGTGTAAGGATCAGTTCGGCTAGTGGGCAGCACATGCTCTCGGTGGCATTACATCAATTTCATATAATTCAGAGTGGAATTAGTTATAAAACCTTCTTGTAGAGTTTCGCTAGACATTAAAAATGAACGCGGAATCATCAGTTGATCATCATCATCATCAGCCTGACTACGTTCATTGCAGGACAAAGGCCTCTCCCATGTTCCGCCAATTAACCCGGTCCTGTGCTTGCTGCTGCCAATTTATACCCGCAAATTTCTTAATCTCATCTGCCCACCTAACCTTCTGTCTCCCCCTAACCCGCTTGCCTTCTCTGGGAATCTAGTTAGTTACCATTAACGACCAGCGGTTATCCTGCCTTCGCGCTACATGCCCAACCCATGTCCATTTCTTCTTCTTGATTTCAGCTATGATATCCTTAACCCCCGTTCGTTCCCTAATCCACTCTGCTCTCTTCTTGTCTCTTAAGGTTACACCTACCATTTTTCTTTCCATTGCTCGCTGCGTCGTCCTCAATTTAAGCCGAACCCTCTTTGTAAGTCTCCAGGTTTCTGCTCCGTAGCTAAGTACCGGCAAGATACAGCTGTTATATACCTTCGTCTTGAGGGATAGTGGCAATCTACTTGTCATAATTTGAGAGTGCTTCCCACATGCATACGCTCGGTTGATCAAGTGAGGCCAAATGTAAGGCCAGGGTGATAAAGAAGTATGTTGAGAGGCAAACTTGTTGCCTGTGCTTTGACACCACACGAAAAGGAATGAAAGAAACTGCGTATTCCTTGAGGTAACTTTCACAAACAGCTGTTTACACAATTCACGAAGCAGCGACCAGCATGGATGAAAGAAAACAATGATGGGCACTCACGTAGAACATCTAGAGAGGCGGTCACAGCCGTGGAGCTTGGCCACGACACGTGGTACACGTGGCAGGAAAGCTGGACTCCGTGCATGTCTCGCGACGCGTTCAGGCTGAGCACGCTGCGCGTCGTGTACGAGTCCTCCTGCGGAGAGAACTCCACGAACAACTGGCTGGCTCCGGTCATGTTGATCTCTCCCAGCATCCAGTGCATGTTTCGAACGGCTGGCACGGCACGGCGTGCCACGCAACCCACTTCCACCTCCTCACGCTCTTGGACGGTGACGCGGGAGCTATCTTGCAACCGCTCACCACTCACCGTCAGAAAAGGCTCTTCAGGAGCACCTGCGTAGCATGATTAAGTTTTTCAATGATATTGTGACGGGAACATTGCGCTCATGTGTCCGTGTCAATTATTGCTACCAGTCCACCACGGCCGATGAGTGGTTACCGTGCTCGTATGCTGATCCGAAGGTCAAGATTTCCATCCCGGCAGGCGCGGTCGCATTTTAGAGGAGGTGAAATGGTGGAAAACCGTGTATAGTGAAGTCAGTGCACATAAAGAACACAGATGGTAGAAATTTCCCGAGCCCCCCTGTTTTGACACTATTTGCCTCTCGGCACTTTTGGGAAAACTGAAGTGTTTTGGTATTATTGATGACGCTTATAACTTATTTTACAGTTATCCTACATCACGAAAGCAAAAGGTACTAATTGACGGTTATCTATCTGAACCAACGACTGTAACGTGTGGTGTCGCAAGGATCCGTATTCGGTACCATTTTATTTGCCTTGTATGTCAATGATTTCCCGCAGGTACTACAGTCGTCTAAAGCATTAATGTATGCTGATGATACTGCAATTTTGTTCACAGGTAGTCAACTGAAAGCCTTACAACATGTTTTGTCCAACGAGCTACTCCTTATTTCAAGTGTGGTTTCACGCGAACCAATTGCTACTAAATACAGATCAAACAAAATATATTATTTTCGGTCAAGAGTGAAAAGTCTCGATTATGCCTCAATTGACGTATCACTAAAAATCAATCGATTGATTGTGTTCCGTCTATTAAATATCTAGGCATTATACTTTGACGATAACCTTGACTGAAAAGAGCAAATCAACACTGTTTGCATAATGTTGTCTTTCAGCTGCTACACTCTGATACGAGCACGTCAAAACTTTGACTTGAGTTTGACGCGGACATTATATTTCAGCATATTTCATTGCCACCACAGCTATTGTTGTGAATCGTGAGGCCTAACGTATACGTCATACCTTAGTCCCCTAATCCGATTACAAAAACGAGCTGTGCGTCTAATTGTCCCCGTTGCGTTATCCTTCGAATACTCTTTTCAGAGACTGCGTATACTGCCATTTACAGACGTACGCAGCTACAGGATTTCCTGTTTAGTATATAAAATAACACGCCTCTTTTCCGCGCCATTTTGACGTTTACGTCACTAAATACACGACACGCTAGTATTAATGATATTAACCTTCCTTTATGTTCAAATGTATATGGTGAAAGACTGATACAATTTTCTGATGCTAAGGTTTAGAACAATTTGCCTCTGAAAATAAATTGCCATAGAAGTTTTGGCATATCCTGCAAACGATACTTTGTTGCTAACCAAACATTTTCTTGAGATTTTAGGCATTCTTTTAATTGTTCTCCTGTGCGTTGGCTGTATTAGGTGACCATTGGTTTTTTGTTTTTTTTCCCTTTTTGTATATAACTAGATCGCACAAGTATGATGCTTTCACAATTGTTTATTTTTTTCCAAAAAACTGCTATTATACTATTTTTTTGCTAAAATATTTTTGTATTGGACTCTTCAGTAGCCGCTTAGGCAATGGGTTCAAATATTTCTGTACGCAGTTTTTTATATTATATTGCAATAAAATTCCCCCTATTGATTTGATTTGACCCTCATAGTCATATTGTGGTTTCGGGACGTGACACCAAAGACATTATTATTATTATTATTATTATTATTATTATTATTACTATTATTATTATCAGTAACTATACTAGCTCAAAACAAAGAAAAACCCAAAGAACTACGGCACACCTGTTCAGCTTTGTAAGGCAGTCGTGCTGGCTAATTTTCACTCGAACTGAAAGCTTTTTCTGTGGCAAAGTAAATTAGCGTACGTATCAACAGTTAAATATTCGTTGTCACTACGTAAAACATTACATTTGACTGAATAGCGATGCCAGTATCCTTGGTGAATTTTACTGAAATGCTCAAGCTCCCCACCTAGCACCAGCCCCAACGACGTGCCTGTTTACAAAGTCAACTATCCGAAACACACTAGCAGTAGTTCAGAAGCAATAAACATTCACAGACATAGATAGCACACTCCAGAGTATATAGTACTCTAAATCGTTTAAGATCTCTACTTGAAACTGGAGCAGCCTATTGAGCCCCATTGTAGAGAAAACCGCTCTCTAAATGGTCGAACATTGTTCGAAACACTAGTATATACGTGCATTTGTGATGATCTGCAAAATGTGAACGAACTTGTTGAGCTTACTGTATTTTTACTTTGTGTGATTTCGAATAAATCGACATAAATGAGTGTTTGTGTCATCAGAGAAATCGATAGCCGAAATTTACTTGTTTTCATCGTTTTGTTTGTTTATGTATAATTTGCTTGTATTATAAGACTTGCCATGGTACGAAATCTGGCTGAATTCAGTCCACTGCAGATTGCACAGGAGTTTAGAGCTCTCCTAGAAAATTTTTTATGCATAGCCTTTCAAGAACTACGAAATGTATCCCACTTAGTCATAACACTTGTTACCTCAAACATATGTTGCAAAAAAAATAGCGCCAAATATACTTTACAGTCATCGGATTCACCTTCGCTGCAGTGCTAGCGGCAGAGCAGTTGTGGCCTTGACGTTGTGAAACAACCGTCGCAGCTAATTTGAGAAAACACTGGTGAAATGTGAGGCTCGATTTTGTTTTTCAAGTTAGTGCCATGCATGTCCAAGGACTCTCTTCGGAACGAAAGGTCTTTGTTAGTAAGCGAATGGGGCTTCTTTTTTTTTTAGGTTTCTTCCAAGTGGGAAGAGCAAACACCTCTCAGTTCCCCTTCTTATCTTTTTTTTATGAATTGAACAAGCACATCTTTCGCAGATCGATGTCTCTGAACAAGAGTCGGGCGAGGCAAGAAAAACAAAACAAAACAAAAAACATAGAAATAAGATGGAATGGAGCTGTCAGCAAACCGGGAATTTGAGCCGCTCAGCGAATTGGCGCCATTCAATTACCGACTGGGTAAACACACTCTTGTCTTTCTCACTTTCAGCTATGCCATATATACTTTTCATTATCTCTATCCAATTAAGCGGATGTTCCACCTCTTGTGCTCTGGTCGACTTTCTCGGAAATGACGTAAGAGCCTTTTCATACCCTAAAGTGTCTGAATTGGTGCAGGAGCCGAAGAGTAAACAGAATTCGAAGTACAAAGACGTACTGATGACATAGCGATGTCATGGGGGAAGCCAAAACATTCACTTTCACTTCGAGTAAACGCACCTCCAGTAACTTTCTCCCCGCTTACTACAACTATCGGATGAGGAATAGCCGATGCCGTTTTCTTGCGTAGGTAATTGTGCGAGTCCTTTTTTTTTCGTTGGAGCTCTACACGGGTTTGTTTACGAGCAATAAAGTGTGTGTTTGCGAACGAGGACGTCTACATGCACACCTATCTTTTAAAACAAAAAAAGCTTAAACTTGAGTGAGATGGTAATGGTTTATATGGGATATGAAAGCCCTTCTGCAGTTTTGAAAAGAACGCTGGCGGACTAAATCCTTGGATTTGTACACCCTGGTTGAAGAGCGGAAGCATTACTACGTCATGTTTCCCAAGATCATTCATCGCGTCGCAATGACCTTGAGCCGGCGGGGCGCAAGTCTGGCAGGCGTTACGCCACGCCACGTGGTACTCTGCGAAAAAACGTTGCAACAGCGCTCACTCTAAGCCTCACCGCTGTGGTACCAAGTAACCAGGCGAATGCTTTGAAGAAGCACTTCGTGCGTAATTTTTTGCAAAACTAAAGCAATCATCAATATCGCTCGTGATAACTAGGTTAACAGAACATAAACGTCAATTCATTCATGTGCACTCCCTCCCAGTCCCAAAATTAAAACATGAATCTTATCTCGCAGTCATGGTGACCCTTATTTATGATAAATCACTGTTCGTGCTATGCCTACTACCATGTCATACCTTGAAAAACAACAACAACAAAAACTCATAAACTTTTTAGTCACGTGACAGTATTTGCTAGCACTCCAGTTTGAAGCATACTACTTTTACTACTTTCGTAGATATGTTTCCTACTGTGATGCCTGAGCGAAAGATCCATGTGTAGTTAAAACGTCAAAACAAGTTCAATGAAAATGATTGACGTAATATTTCAAAAGCCTGCCTCGAACTCCAGTAAATGGCACTAGCAGACGTCACTCTGGTTGCTCGTTCTTCGAAACGCGATCGCAGTGCGTGAAACACTGGCCACAAGTTTTTAAAAGTGGTTTTGAGTTTGTAGTATAACACAGCTTCCACGAAGAGAAAATATAATTTAATGTACACAGTCCACTAAAATTTGTTGATGATTGTTTTTCATGATACACCACAATGACAGAATGTATCTAAGTGGCTAAGGTACTCGGCTGCTGTCCCGAAGGTTGCGGGATCAAATCCCGGCTGCGGCAGCTGCATTTCTGATGGAGGTGGAAATGTTGTTGGCCCATGTGCTCAGATTTGGGGGCACATTAAAGAACCCCAGGTGGTCGAAATTTCCGGAGCCCTCCGCTACGGCGTCTTTCATAATCATATGGTGGTTTTGGGACGTTAAACTCACATATCAATCAATCAGAATGTATCTCCCAGCAAAATGGTGCATATGGTAGAGGACATGGTCAAAAGAAGGTGGGTGTTCTTTTTCTAAAGGAACGCAGATTGACACTGAGTTAACCGACCCCCAACCCTCCGACTTATGCTCTTAAGCGTAAGAATTTAAACCCCTCTTAACCTAGGCGTCGGTGTATAGATGACTACAGTGGAGTGATGTAAAAAGAGAACAGCAGTTAACAGCAGCAGCTGCGGCCGGTAGGCGTATTTTCTGGGCCGGAGAAATTTTTTTTTGTGCGTCTGGTGATGTAGTTAACCTCTTTTTTTCCGTCATGCATGGTTCAGAGTGATCAAGTAGACAAAGAGGCACTCTCACTTGCTCAGAGGGCCCTCAATGTTTATCGTGCCGCCCATCATGCCTCTAGCGTGCCAACTTCAATATTCACCGTTATGATAAAAGATAATTCATCATTACAATGGATTCTGGTGATGGATGATGGAGAAATTCTCATGCGAGAACGAACACGTCCTCCGTACAGTTAGGTGTCCCTTACCCGTCACGACGAGCTTCAGCACTTTGGTCACTCTCCTGACGGAGTCGTCGTCGGCAAATTCTCGGCACTCCCACAAGCCGTCGTCGGCTCGCGTCACCTGCGTGATGGTGAGCGCCGCAGTGCCGTCGCGAGAGATGTTCCACTGGCGACGGCTGCCTGCGGCCCCGGAGCCCAGGTCGAGAACCACGGGGTGTCCATTGCGCATCCACTGCACGCTGCCTCCGGGAGTCTCCAGGAAGCACGGGATGCTGAGGCTTTCGCCGGGGTTCACTACCTATAATAGCCGCGAGGTATAGAAAGAAAGTTCTCGTTATGAGTAAAGGTGTTTCAGTATCTACAAGGGAATATAGCTTTGTACTTCGCTTACGTATGTTGGGAATGTTACAAGTAGGAATGAGATTATTATTATTATTATTATTATTATTATTATTATTAATATTATTATATCTTTGCTTCATCATCATCATCATCAGCCTGACTACGTCCACTGCAGGACGAAGGCCTCTCCCATGTTCCGCCAGTTAACCCGGTCCTGTGCTTGCTGCTGCCAATTTATACCCGCAAACTTCTTAATCTCCTCTGCCCACCTAACCTTCTGTCTCCCCCTAACCCGCTTCCCTTCTCTGGGAATCCAGTTAGTTACCCTTAATGACCAGCGGTTATCCTGTCTACGCGCTACATGCCCGGCCCATGTCCATTTCCTCTTCTTTATTTCAACTATGATATCCTACACCCCCGTTTGTTCCCTAATTCACTATGCTCTCTTCTTGTCTCTTAAGGTGACATCTATGATTTTTCCTTCCATTGCTCGCTGCGTCGTCCTCAATTTAAGCTGAACCCTCTTTGTAAGTCTCCAGGTTTCTGCTCCGTAGCTAAGTACCGGCAAGATACAGCTGTTATATACCTTCCTCTTGAGGAATAGTGACAATCTACCTGTCATAATTTGAGAGTGCTTGCCAAATGTGCTCCACCCCATTCTTATTCTAGTTACTTCAATCTCGTGGTTCTGCTCCGCGGTTATTACCTGCCCTAAGTAGACATAGTCTTTTACAACTTGAAGTGCACTATTACCTATCTCGAAGCGCTGCTCTTTTCCGAGGTTGTTGTACATTACTTTCCTTTTCTGCAGATTCATTTTAAGATCTACCTTTCTGCTCTCCTTGTCTAACTCCGTAATCATGAGTTGCAATTCGTCCCCTGAGTTACTCAGCAATGCAATGTCATCGGCTAAGCGCAGGTTACTGCGCTTAGCCGATGACATTCGCAGCAGGTTCTGACAAGCGCAGGTTCTGCGGGACTTTACATGAAAGCCGGTGACGAAAGATGAAATTCTCGGTGATTGCCGTTACCTAACTCTGACGCCGCTGTCCAATACAAAGGCGAATACGTCTGCTGCATGTGTTTGGGGTAAAATGAAAGTAAAGTGTCCTGGTTATTACGCTTCTTACCAGGTTTATTTTTGTCCACAGATGTTGCACCATATGCATTAAAACCAGTCCAATATTCAATAAAGCTTATAGGCTGAGCCTTGATTGAGTGCATAACTAACTTCACAGCGGTATTGGCCGCCATTGTTGTTTGGCGAGTATGTTACTGGACTGCTGACCCGGATGTCACGGGGCGAAATTCCAGCCGTGTTGGCCGCATTTATATGCAGGAGAAAGGCTTGAATCCCATTTACTTATTCTTAAGCGCGTTAAAGAACACACATGTGGTTCTAATCCTAGGAGCCCTCTACTATACAGCGTTCCTCATCATCACATCTAGGTTTTAAACGTACACCCTTAATTAATATTATTATATCATCATTGATATTACATAGTATTATTTAATATCATAAAAGAAATAGATCACAGTTATCATGCAGTCGTTGCGAGTAACAGAAAAAAAAAGCAGAGTCCCCGTTCTGACCAAGAATACAAGCAAGAACAGGGCGCGACCGAAGGTAAAATGTGCAGACACTTCCGAGTGTGAATACTCTCAAGGATATATCTGAAGGAGCATATGCGCTGCGAATGTGTTGAATGATAAAACACTGCCATTCCGACAGAGGGCTGCCAACGCATTACTGCTGTTCTGGCCGGACTATAGACATGCGCATGCTCTTCTAGCTCCTTCCAGCGATCACTGTTATCCTTGCTACTGAACAGCAGTTGTTGTGTGCATTAGTTGTGCTTTTACTTTGTTTTATTTTTATTGTTCCAGTCTCGAAAATGACACTATCTCACAGGGTAGGGCAGTGGAAATGATTTTTATTCTGTTTAACCACTCTGAAATTTCTACAACTTAGTATAGCTCACTCTCACCCCCAATTCTTTGCGGATTAAAGATTCCTGACATCATAATTTCTTTCTTTATTTTGACTTACCTTCTCCGGTGGCTCGACGTTATTTGCAGTCACACCTCCTGAGCCAAGCGCAGCTGTTACCGACACCGAGAGAATGGTACAGATCACAGCGGTCAGCAGGGCTTCTGTAGTTCCTTGTGCTGATGCTGAAACCAAGGGCGAGAAACAAACAAAAACAGCTGGTGTTGATGATGGAAGAAGTCAAGATGAAAACCAAATTGAATTTTCTTTAGTGTTCGAATCAATCAATATATCAACCAATCCATAAATTAATTAATCGATCAAATTTTGTTCTCGCCTTAAACAATAAGGTGTTCAAGCGGAATCTAGAAGACCAGAAGGAAAAAATAGATTCACGATGCTTGACTATGCTCTGGCCACCCGTATAACGGTGCTTCACAATTTTAGCCAGTACATAAAGGAACCAAAACGTTCCAGCCAGGTGTTAAAAAGGTGTGTGTCCTAAACTAACACACATGGCGTTTTTCACTCTATAGCACGAAACAGAGTAATCGCGCGAAAGTGCGTGGTATGCTTGCGTGAATAAATTTTACGCGAAGACCCAACCATTCAAAATGACATGGAAGTACGGTCAGACTCTCCATCATTCACCCCGTGGATATTCTGCCATTTTTTTTCGTAAACACTCAGATAAAATTTCCAATTATCCGTGTTTGCGCAAACAAACTGAAGAGCTTCCTTTATGATAAACTAAGGTAGATTATGTACACTTGCTTTGTCAAGCCCCTGTAAGTACCGCAGGTGCGCTCGGATGCGAACTCGATATGATCATAATCCTAACGTCAACATTCAACTGCAGCACCACTATTTTGTGGATTGTTAAAGGAGGGTTCGTCAGAAGTGTCTAACACGTATAACACGACTATACACAGAAACACAAAGAATACACAGAAATGCAAAGTCGGTGCCTCTGCTACCACGGTTCTAATTGCGAAGCGCGCAGGACAAAAAAAAAAAAAACCTGAATGCCTCCGTGCCGTAATCACCACACTGTAGTGGAATAATACGAAGCGCCCACTGTTGCTGAAGATTACCCGTGTTCGCATCGCGGAAAGTGCTGCCCCGAGAAACGCTGCATAAGCTAACGGCATAATGAGTTCTGGGGCTTATGTTGAGGCAAAAACAACGCGCACAACTATACAGTAGCCAAAACAAGCGCAAGTACACCACATTACCGTGGTTAGCACGCCGAAATTAGGATTTGGGTTTTCTCCCTGCGATCTCTGACCGGGGCAAAACACCGTTTCTGCTTGTTTAGAGCAGCTCAGAGATTTCATTTTGTTTGTTGGTACGATGTGTATTCTTTTGGTGGCTTTTACTGCAGAGCCTCGCATTCCAGCCTGAATCGGGGTCGAAAGGATGAGAAGCCAACGATATTTACTTGGTGTCTGTTGGCACCAAACGTTCCAGGATTGCCATCCATGCTCTGTTTCGTTTCAGTGAAAGTGCCTGTCTTTCTTTCTTCTTTTGATTGTGGTAATGTGCTCAGATTCTTCACGGTATGGGCCTCATTGTTACAGCGAAAAGCGAAATCACCTGTGTAGAAACCTTGTGTTGGACTTTGTCTAGTTCTATTGATTGTACTCGCATACGAAGGAATCTATGTTGGCTTTCATGTCACGTTTCTTTAAGTGATGAGGGAGGGAGTTGGTGAGTGAGAGATAAACAAAACAATGTATTTTATCATACATATTTTTAATACGATGGAAGTAACGTAGTATGCTCCTCTTGTCGCAAAAATTGAGCGGAATTGACTCTCACTTTGTGCTAATTACAATTACCTTTGAAAAGCAAATTTGACGTTTACTGCGAAACGCTAACATCAACCGTTCATCCTGGTTAGCTGATGTACACGCACTCCCAAGTCCTCTGGAAATGTCGGCAGAAAGTTGTTATGAGTAATGCTAGTGGCTCGTAAACTGAATTTCAACGCAATTGCTGAGCCTTCACCATGACTGAGGTGTGGAAAAGGTGAGAAAGACCGTATTTTAGGGAAATGTATATTCTGTTCCTTGCGTTCCTATCGTGCCAATTCGATATATGAACATGAATTCGAGGTTAAAAGGGCTTTTATAGTGTTTTATAGTGCCTATAAGCGCCCCCTTAGGCGTTTATAATTTAATTGGCATAAGGCCCTATAATTGCCTACTTTTAAAATTGGTGCCAATATGAACACTACTTAACCCCACATATTGCTGTCGGGTAGCTTGAGACCATTATTTATGTTATCGGGCAAAAGTGACCTTTCAGAAGCCTCATGGGGTTGAACCTAGCTCTTGTTGAATAAACTTCTAGAAAGCAACAGCTGGTAGCAATGACAGGTGGTTTAACAATAAAATCCTCCGATGCTTTGTCCCCACTCATCATGATTCACAGCGAGGATATGCTGTGATTTTCTTTTTTGCTATTCTGTCGTAGACACACGTAGCGCGTCTTTCTTCGGATTTTCCGAGGTTTGTAAAAATTGATTGTGCCTATACTTACGATTTCCGGACCCAGAACTGTATTCTGCCTGCCTTTTTTTTTTGGCGCCTAAAACATGAATATTAGTGCCTGAAAATCCGGCATCGAGTGATATCTTCGCTTAGGATCATAATATAGCGGGCGGTTAAAAAGGTTCCTGCTTAGGGAGCCTTCATGTGCGCGGACAGATAAAGACTCCTCCCTACCCCCTCCCTCCCCCCTCTAAATGTTCAGAATTGTTGTTTTTTTTGGGGGGGGGGGTGATGGGTGATACAAAACTACAAGTTGCCAAAGTTAGCCGCTCTACACTCGCGAACCCCTACGTAAAAAGAAAAAATTGGCAGAATATCCACGGAGTGAATGATGGAGAGCGGGGCGAAGCATTCGTCCGTCCATTCGTTCTTGCTTCCGTCCGTCCATGCGTCCGTCTGTACGACCGTTCATGCGTCCATCCGCCCGTCCGTGCGTGCGTCTGTTCATGCGTCCGCCCCTGCGTTCGTCCATGCATCCACCCCTGTGTCGGTTCATGCGTCCATCCATGCATCTGTCTGCGTGTCCGTTCGTCCATCTATTCAACACTTCAAGTACCACCATCTCGCATCTTTTCATCATATATTCCCCATATAGAAGCATCTCCATCCAGCGGACATTCCAAGGACTAAACGAGAGGTGGCACACGCACACTTTCTGACGGCTTGCGCTTCGGGTTTACATCCCACCTTCAACCACCCCGAGTTCATGGTATATACTAGTTCACTGTATTCATTGCACTGCGGCTCAACGCTAACTGTCTGCTTCAAAAAGCGACACCTCAACGGTAGCTCACAAGGGAGGGGGGGTGAGGAGGGATTAAAAGAATAAGATTAAAGGTATATATAGAGAGAAAAATTCACTAGGCCAGCGAGCGAGGACAAATCGAGGGTATAGGAGAGATAGGAAAGATGGAAACACGGTCACAGGAGTCCGGGGACGGGGCACCACTTGCGATAGGTCTTGTCGGCGTCAGGAGATGGCGTAGGGCAAGTCCTGTAGGTAAGAGCTGCACTGTCGTCGAAGGTTGGCGTCAGGAAATGACGTAAGGGTAGCCCAGTCGGCCAGAGCTACGCTGACGTCGGAGATCTCGAGGGCAAAACTGGTCCGCACGGAATCCAGTGAGCGACTCCGCTAAACCTTTCTAAAACCAAGCAGGTTACGCCCAGCAAGTATAAATAGCAACCTTTTCCTGTCAGATAGTGCTCAATGTACATGCCAATGGCTGCTAATGGGAAATGAGAGACAGGAGAATTCGTTCATGGTATATACTAGTTCACTGTATTCATTGCACTGCGGCTCAACGCTCGCTAAACCTTTCTAAAACTAAGGCGGTTACACCCAGCGAGTATAACGTAGCAACCATTTCTTGTCAAATAGTGCTCAATGTGCATGCCAATGGCTACTAATGGGGATTGCAGCGTGCCCGTTAACTAAAAGCCGAATGCTCCTGTCTCTCATTCCCCATTAACAGTCATTGGCATGTACATTGAGCACTATTTTTTATTGTTCAACAACGCACAGAAAAATCTCTCACCGGCACCTCCTTGGAGGTCAAAATGTTATACTTGTTACACACTACAACGGTTACGAGGGACGAACGGGTGCTGCTATAAGGAGCTTCGCCCCTAAAATTCTCGTGTACGGCATTGCCTTCACAACACTTATTAGGCGCGTTTACGAAAGTTACTGTGGCGTCTGGAGAGACTTGGGGCTGCGCACAAGGCTGCTTTATTAAGGAACCCCAGGTGGTGAAAATTTCCGGAGCCATCCACTACGGCGTCTCTCATAATCATATGGTGGTGTTTGGACGTTAAAGCACACATGTTATTATATTAATAGGCTGCTAAACGTTGTAAGCTTCAGTAGTTAATGGTCGGCTTGCTGATCGACGTCGCAGATGATAAATTGTGTTTGACTGAATCAGAAGGAAAGCAGAATAATCTTATGGATTCATAAGTGTGGGAAAAAGTTATTTAAACTTGTGTCAATAAAAGTTTTATGCGCTTCAATGTAAACACAGTGGTTTAAAACAACAGTTCTTCCAAACAACTGAAGTGAAGCTCTTTTAATTATACCCCTCAACACATATCTATTTAACGCAACTACTTGCAACTTATTAATAAAATTTTCAAAAATGGACAGAATGCCAGTGACGCTCCTAGCGCGGTACACAATTCAGTGGAGTCAGGCACTCACAACGAACTATTTTGATCGCAGAAGAAATGCGAGGCCAGTTCTGGCAAGGCCTCTAGAAGCACACGTGTCCTGCCAGAAGCCCTTTTTGCGCCCGATAGATGGGGACTTTCCGAAGGGGACAGCCGAGGCTTGGGGCACACAACAGATGACACACAGTATATGAGACGACTGTCCAGCTATTTCTCTCTGCGCCTCTTGACAGGTGCGCTAGATTGAGTGTGGTACCAGGTGTCAATTAGGTGATTCTCCGTCTCGCAAGCGACAGAGAGGACAGGAGGAGACGCTGAGCTTTGTTGTCTCTTTACAAGGCGCTACTTGTGTCTTTTGCCACTCTCCTGTTGTGGCACAACGTCGCTATATTGCGCTGGAACGAGAGTGCCACGAGACAGCAGAAACTTGTCGCTCGAGACACTTTCGCACAGTGAGGGACAGC